GTTCAATCATTTATAATTTCTCCAATGTGCGCGTTTGTAATATTTTTTTTATTAGTTTAATGTTTTGTACTGATTTAAGAAATCAATTTCACCTTAATATCAATATCAATCTTAGTTTGGCCAAAAAAAATCAATTACTAATTTAATACAATATAAAATAGCGTTATTTAACTGTTTTTTTGTGTCTCCTCTAAAATTAGGATATTTTTACATTGGAGATATTTCATTCCTAACGACGATATATTGTTCATCGACCTACGGAAAGCCTACGACAGCGTTCCACTGAAGAAGCTGTGGCAATCAATGGAATGCACGAATATTAATATAGAATTAATAAAAGCCATCAAAGTGCTATACAACCAATCAATAACAAAAATAAAAGCAGTGACGATGATTGTCTTCTACTTTATTTAAAATATACCCCGAAAGTAGAAAAAGATGGAAACAAAAATGCAGGACAATGGGGATACGGGGATAACACTATGGTATAGACGCTCAACTTTGCAGACGATCAAGTAATAATGGCTCAAGATTATGACGATTTAAACTATATGGCACGAAAATTAATTAAAAAGTATGATATATGGGGTCTAGAAGTAAATAAAAAGAAAACTGAATACCTGTGCGTTGGAGTAGAACAAAAAGATCTCATATTAGACGATAACACCACGATAAAGCACTGCTGTGACTACAAATCTAGGTATCACTATTTCACAAGATGGAACATTAGACAAAGTCATAAGAGAGAGAAATACGTCAGGGAGAAAAGCCATCACAACAGTATTTTATGGGACCAATCCATCAGCAAAGAAAATAAAAAGAGACGACTATAAACTGTGAGATATGGTCACTGAAAGAAAGAACACTGGCAACGCTGAAAGCGACGGAAACGGATTTTTGGAGAAGAGCCGCAGGAAGATCTAGAAGAGAAAGGATTACCAACGAACGCATTACAGAAATAATGGGAATCCACGAACAATCACAGATGACCTAACAACAAAACAACTTATCTGGTTCGGACACATACAAAGAATGGATGAACAACGAATACCAAAAGAAATATTAAAATGGCAACGAGAAGGAAAGAGAAAACGAGGTAGACCGAGCAAAAATGGAGCGAAGGAATAAATAAAGAACTGAGAGAGAGAACCATCGAAGAAGACCTATGGAACAACCGGACGTTATAAACCGACAAGTAGTAGTAGTAATCCCCAGGGTCCTCACCTGTAGGACCATAATTAGGGTCATTGATCCTTATTTAATACAATCTACCTACCCTTCTGTTGATGAAACGACTTCCAATACATAACTAAATCACTGGGAATGATAGCATCGAACCAGTTATGTGTGTACTGGTCGTCCAGATCTGCGTGGCATATCACACCATAAATAGCCTAAAAATAAATGTGTAAGATGACAAAAATTTAATCACATATTGATGTAAACATTGCTCAATTACATTCGTTGCAATTTACTAGTTTTGTTGAGACTAAGCCACAATTTAAGTTTAAAATAAGTTTATTTCACGTCTCGTCCAAAAATACAAAACATTAAGATGCCACAAGAAAATAGCTTCAGAACTATAGTTACTAATATCTATATACTATACTCTGTTTTTTAACCAGGAGGAGTAAACCAAAAAGACAGATTCACACCCAAGAAAGTTACTAGAAAAGTCACCAAATACATCTTCTTTTTTTGTTGTATATCTCGGCCTTGCGGTAATCGAGTAATCAATATCGGACAACCTTACACGTCAATACTAACCTAACTTTATGTTTTAATAATATATTTTTTTAATTCACTTCCAATATATATTACAATTATTACAATAAAAAAAGACGTTTTTCACATTTGTTCCCATGTATATATATTTAAATATCGGGTGATCCAGTTTTATAGATCTTTTGAGTCGATGGTACTTAATTTAGAGAATATTTTGATCCAGAGAGTCAATAATATTACAGATCTAAGTATGGTTTTTCTCAGAAATTTGACTTTTAATTTGCAAATAGATCTTATATGGAACAAAGCTATGCAGATGCATGTATCAAAAAGCTAGAGAGAGTTCAAAGATTTCTGAAATACTGTTCTTTTAAACTGCGTAAACCATATTCTTTTTCTGGTGTGATTAATTTCTTGAATCTAGGTTTTTTTCTTACCAGAAGAATTAACTTTGACTTTGATCATTATTTTTAAAGCTATGCAAATTGAATGAGAATTGACTTTTTCATATCACAGAATAAATTATGGTTCAAATATAGGTGTGGTCCTACTTTCCATGCATGGTAATCAGTTACCTCATTAGATAGATTGAACTTATGTATCAATATCTTAAGGATCTATTTGAAGCACTAAAATACAAAACAATAAATTTGTATAAATAAGTGTGTACTTGCAATTTCTTTAATGCTAGATTCTTGTTACTTTTGACAGTGAGTTTGTCCCATTTGTTATCAATAAATAAAATTTACTAAAAAATACTGGATTTCTGTGAGATAATCAACTAATTCAATCTATTATGTTACATTCTAGAATAATTTTGTAGTTTTCTTGTGATGATCTACAACAGGAAGAACAAAACCAACTGTATCAATAGGTACAATCAAAGTAAAACACAACATTACTAATGGTCTTTTATTGTGATGAAAACAAAATGAAAATGCTTCTTAACAAGTATACACAAATTTAAAAGATAGTTGCCGTTTTTCTTATGATAATTAGATATAAATATCATACATTTATAAATTTATAAACACTGTAAACTCTATTTATTATATATATATATATATATATATATATATATATATATATATATATATATATATATATATATATATATATCAGCTATACTACGTTCCACGTTTAGAAAATAACATTGCGGAGATAGGGCCATGTATTTCTTATGGACGATAGCAACGCGACGTTGCCACGACACACACAAGCACAATTTAGGGTTGTATAATTTGTATTTTTGTTTCCACAATCATGAATTAAATTAATGTTTTTTAACGTAATTGACCAAAAGTGCCAATTCGAAACAAGAGATGAAAAGTAGGGAAAATGATTTTAATTAGATAAATAGTATTTACAAAAGATAATTTTATTTTATCTTATTTTAATTATAGTAACGACAGTTTATTTGTTTTTCGGTGAGAATACGATATGCCATGAATCATAGAAATCAGTAGAAAATATTGACCGCTTGGAATGCGTATATCTAATTACTAATTGCAACTTAAAATAATACGATGTGCGTATGTCAGCTATTTTATGTCGTTGTCTGACTACATAATGATAATAAGGCTTTTATTTAGTAGTTATTCTGACTTTACAGTTAAGTGTTAATTGAAAATGAAAATTAAAAAATTAAGCAAAGGGAATATCTTGGACATCCGTGCAAAAGAGAGTGTCTGAGAGTTTTGGCAACACTGATCTCCATAAGCGTAATGTTATTTTCTTAACTTGAAACAAAGAATAGAAAAATATCACATTAAATAGTATTATCGCATATCACCAATTCCAAGTTATTACAAAAACAACTTTAAGAGTCAGAAATCGATTTCTATAATATTCTGTGCATAATATATATTCGGAATGAATGTAAAAATAAAAATTTAATAATTGTTTTAGTCTTCCAAAATCTCTCCATTTATGTCTTGGTGAGATTAATGAACAACTACACCATTTTGAATTTCTTGATTTATTTTTTCAGCAAAAACTGAATCTATTTCAGATATTTGAGCAAGAAAGTTTTGTTTTTGGTCAGCAGCCCAATGTATAAACTATTCTTTGAATAATTTCCCCTAAAAAATAACTACTTATGGTAAGACATTCATAATATACACAATAAATCAATCATCCTATAAAGTAAGATAAACAATCTACAGTTATGCTATGTAATATTTGCTGCATTGAATCTGCATATGTAAAGTAAAAATATCCTTTTTTTCCCCTTTTCTTCCCTTTCCATGTTCTTATATCTGTTGAACCAAAATACTTGACAACATTCCAGTAGAGTATACAAATAAAAACTTAAAATTTAATATTTAATAGTAACAATAATATACCTGATTATAAAAATGAAATCTAAAATGTTTTAGTTAATTTTACTATATAATTGTAGCTAACCCATATTTACATACCGATATTTGTACTTACTTCAAATTGATTTGCTTCAAGAATTTATATAATAATGAACGACACATATTTTGGAAGATCTGAGCGGTTGTTAATTTCACTTAAAATTTTACCTAAAGTGAGCATTTCATTCTTGAAAAAGAAGCTGTGTACTATCTGTCGTATAGATGTTTTAACTCTTTCATCCTATGTTGCAAGAATATAAGGTCAACCTTCAATATTTTTAGGACATTTTACTGCTCTAGTCTGCTTATATTCTTTAATTGTTCTAAATTCTATTATTGTAAATAGTTGAATTCGCAACAATTAAAATTATCACATTACTTTAGTAAGTCTTGATTTTAATAATAACTATTCTGTAAAACTAACCTGCTGCCTGTTTTATTTTTACTACCGTGGCTGTTATTTTTATTCCTGAATTATTAATTTTCATGTTTGTACATGTTTATAGTACAATTTCTCATTTGATGATAAATGATCCAAATCTACTCGGCGTTTTTAAGGTGGAGAAGAATAATTACCACTAGTACTTGGGATTGAGTCCATATTGTTATCTTAATAACACTAATATGTCGCTAAATAGTTCTGAAAAGAACTGTTTTTTATATAAATGCAAACGAAAAATCTAAAAATGTAAGAAATAACACAGAAAATACAAAAAATTGTCGATATAAATTTTGAATTTTAAAATTTCACAAATGTCATTAGTGTCAATATGTCATAATTTATTAGAGTAAACTTCCCTGCGATTCGACCAATTACAAACAAGCATTATGGAGCGGAAAATTTGAATTACTCCTCCTGGTTTAAAAACACACCATAATAGTTACTATTCGCTGTGAGCCGATGAGTAGAGGGGATTTGACAGTTTTCACCAACGCTGTTAGTGGCAGTTTTGTGCATTTAACTTGTAAACATTCAAATAATGGCGAATATGGATTTTTCAAAAAGAAAAATATATGATACATGTAAAAACACTGGGTACAACAGTCACTGTAAATTTTATTTATTTCCTCTTGCCAAGCATAAAATAGTTCAAAGAGAAAAATGGATTATTGCTATCAACGAGAAAAATAAGTAAATAACCTATAATGCAAACATGATATTTGTATGGTGTAAAATTAAAAAGCTATTATATTCCGAAACATTGCGTAAATACCCTGCATCAACTAAACCTTTTCCTTTTTTGGTGTAGCTGGTTGAAATGGGATATCATGTGATATAGACTTAAAACCAGTATAATGTTTAATATCCATTTTGATAAAATTAAAACAAATTTAAGAGGTGGAGGCCATAAAACGAAAGAAGAAGAAGAAGAATTAAAACAAATTGATATCTAAGCACTAAGACCTACGCACACAAAAAATAACTGAGCAAAAACAGAATAAAAATGTAAAATAAAAACAAGAATTATAACGTTACAGAGGTAAAGGTAACCAGAATATAGACGTTTTAAGCGTCTATAACCTTAAATATTTGCTTTAACCATTAAATATTTTCATATAAACTTCTTCTTTTTCTCAATGACCTCTTGCGTAAGTAGTCATCCAGTCGCAAGAACTTATATCTTGAATGAATAACATAACAAGGCGTAATTACTTTTACTATTAATTCTGTGTATTCGTTCATTAATCAGTTTACCATAATATTTCAGTTCAATATCTTGTATTTTTAAATAAATACCTATTTTTCTCGTTTTGTCATATTTCATTTACACTGATTTTACAAGAAAAGTACAAGTTTCAAACCGCGAGAGAGCGCTACCGGCGAAACTCACAGCGAATAACTACTAATAGCTGTAACTTGTTACATAAATCAAATCAACTAAGTCAGTAGCAAAATATTTAAATGCAGAAACTTTATATTGTCTATGAAATTTAAGGAATTTCCATTAAGGTATAGTTTTGGTGTCCGTAGATTATGTTTTCTTGAAAACTGCATGCACTTCGTTTTAGACTCAGAAAATTTTAATCCGTTTGACTCGGATCAAATCTATAAATTATTTAAGCTATGTTGTATACCGCTATGACAATTTTTCAACTACCGTATACGTTATTCAGCATGTGGAACAAAGATAACACCTAATTGTTGGAATAGAAGTGAGAGGCAGTCACCATCTCGAAGGCAGAAAGTTTGACTTTTAAACAGTGTCGCTATATTTATATAATCTAAACAAAATATTTATAACAAACATTTTACTCACCAAAATAAAATATATCATCTCCCCATTTTCTTTTAAAATCTGATCAAGGAAAAATGTAATACGTGGTAAAAATATTGCTTTAACGGCGTCAACTCCCAAGTAGTAAATGATAGTTAATACTGGAAGCATAGCACCTTGACCAATCACGTCTATTTTTTGATTGATTTTTGATATCGCTAGTTGTCGTAGAGGTTCCCTAAGGCACAAAATACTTAAAGTAAAACACATCCGCTTAAGAATATCCGGAGACGTATAAGAAAGCAACAGTCTTTGTAAAAGGAGCCTAACTAAAAGTTGAAGAGATTTATGTGACGCGGTAGAACTTGGTATGGGGCTGTTCTCTAAAGTTTCTATTAGATCTAATGCTCTTAAAGTCAGAGAATCATACGTTATATTTTTTATAAGCAGGAAGTATCCAAAATTGTAGAACCACTGGGATATCGGACCGATTTTTGAATTTTCACTTATATCCTGTAAGGTCACTTCTCTCAATTCGTCATCGCCACTTATCAAACATTGGCACGCCGTCTTGAAGTAATTCTGGTACACCTCACTTACATTTTCGGCATCTGAATCTGGAAACCAGCTTTTTGTTAAAATAATATCACCGTGTTGAACGTATGTGGGTTCTTCTTCTGCCAATTCCACGAGATTCACAAGACTATCCTAAAAATATAAAATTATGTATATTTATTTTTCTGTTAAAAAAACATTTGGTTGCGATGCAATGAATGGTAACAAATAATGTAGTAAAGAACTAGGTAATAAAAAAATAATAAAAACAAAAAGTAAGCAATACAAGGGACAATAGATAAGCAAATAATGAGTTTAAAATCATTCGGGTGAATTGATGTATAAACCCGTTATACAGAAAGTACACGGTTCGATTGAAAATAAAAGTCTAATGTTAGCAAACACTTCTATTAACACGTTAACTGCCGATCTATTCTGAGTAGGTTTTCACCAAGAGCTGCTTACTGTTTTGATACTTAGTGTACACCTACATTGAAACCGTATTTCTCCCGATCCGATATAGGGCGACGTCGGCCGACGTCCGATTGAAAACAAACTCAAAGTATTAAATCGTAGTACCTAGACTGCTTCGTCATGGAAGATCTTTCTCGTTACAGCTGTGATCATCTCGCCACTGAGGACTCTCTCACCATTTGGACTCGTGCAACTCGAGCTTAGGAGGAAGATCAGCAGGATTGAATATACTTGGTACATCATGCCATCTTTCAATGCCCGATGTTTTGCGAATTTCTGCTACGCGATTCCACAACAATGTAGTCGCATTCTTCAGTTCTCCTTATCCAAGACAGTAACGTTGTTGAATCGATCCAAAAATATTCTTCTAATTTAATTTTAAGAGTTTCTCTAACCATAACCTATAATCGAACAGCGATAACTGTAGCTATTAATTCAACTCGGGCTATCAACAATCTCTTGCTACTCTGGATTTAGCTGCTAAAATATGTACAAATACTTGTCCGTTCCAGACACCTCTTAAAAAGATTACTGCGGAATATGCATTTTTGCTAGCATCACAAAATGTATGCAAGGTAAATTCTTCAGCTTCTTTGGGGCCTGCATGTATCCACCTAGGAATTTTAATGGCAGCTAAATATGAACGTCCTTGATCCCATTTCGAAAATATGTGTTTATTGTATAACAGACCAGTGAATCCGAAGCAGTTGTTCTTTCCATGTTATCTGCAATAACATCTTTGGAATTAACAAGGCTATATACCCAATAGGATCAAACACACGCTGCATTTGTGAGAGTATAACTCTTTTAGTTATAGGTGTATCTGTATTATTTCATCCTCTTGTTTTAGACATAATGTGTCATCCATTTTATTCCTTGTTATTCCCAATACCCGGGTAAAGGGGTCATTTATATCATTGGGTACTTGGCCTGTATATTTCTTCCCTCTAAGTGAGAGCGCCCACCAAACTGGCATGGCAAGTGGCAAGTAGCAAGTAGCACGCATCTAGCATGTTATTTAAAATATAACAAATTTATTATTATATTATTTAATATTTTTTAATATTAAAATATAACAAATGACAAAAAAACAAATGACAAACAAATGACATCACTGTCATTTGGCGTGCGCTGAATCATTTGTTTTCATATGGATATGGAACATCTTCTTACATGCAGAAACTGTCCCCATCAATGTACCCTTGTGTCTCGTCAATAAAGATGTTACCGACATAGCCTGATACTGTGATGAAATTATATGAATGAGATGTCCGGATCCTAAGTAAAGTAGTAGTGTAATTTATAGAACAGAAAACATAGAACAAACTTTAAAACTTAATCAAAATTAAACAAAAAACAACTCAAAGTAAAAATACAATACATTCAAACTAGAAAATAAGACTTTAGAAATAAATTGTTGTTTAAATAGGTAAAAAACAAAAAATATCTAATTCATTAACTTACATCTAAATAATAAAAAAATTGATCACTGCTGTTTGCGCCCGGTACATCACTAAAGGGTACCCAATTCGGCGTAGTAGTTGCACCATAAACTTTTTCAATAGATAAGTTTCTGAAGGATTCGTCAATATCTTTTGAACTTATTACATTATCGCCATGCAACCGTGCTGTTAACAGGGCGTCCTGAAAATAAAATCAGTAATGAAATTTATAATGTTTAATCTATGTAATCAATTGATTTTTTTTAAACAAGCATATTCAAGCTTGATCGTATTCAGCATAAATTTGGTAAATACTATCATTACTGTAGTGCTTTTCATGACCTCTCTATTCCATACAGTTATACTATATTATAGTATACTTTACTAATTATTTTCCAATGTTATGCTTACTGTGTAAAATTTTATACATTATATTTTGTTCCAATGTAAATGGTATATCCGTTAATAAATAAATAAATAAAATAAATAAACCTCTATATGGAGAATGTTTTAGCGTAGGCATTTGAAGGCTCTTAGTTTGGTATAAAAGTCAACAGGTACCCAGACCAGAGAGGGAGAAGAGTAAGTTGCAGACGAATGTCATGGCTTATTTGCATTCATTGGAAAAATTAAACTGTTCAATCAATACTTTATAGAGTTTGACTTTTATCCAATATGCATTGTATATTTCTTAAAGTTTACATTTTTTATGGATTTTTCTTTTATCTTCTTTTCTGTCTACTTGAAGTTTTTCTCTTTTAAACCTGTAAATTTCATCTGTTAGGAACCTGTTCCTTTCTGTCATTAATTCTTGAATGTTTTGTTTTCTGTTTATTTAATAATAACCTAATTTTCATTAATATAATTTATTATAATGTCGCCTCTCTTATATATCACATAACTAAAAAAAAATTGTATGCTAATTCATTTACTTACATGAATAATATATCTGAGCTTATAGTTGATATCTTCACTAAGGAGATTACAGACTTCATCTGATAAATGGGCTTCATGCATTGTTTGTTCTGCATAATTGCGTATAATATCTGGGCCAATTCCAGCATATTGCATGCCATCCTAAAATAACATCAAAATTGACATATTATTACAATTTAAGAAAATTTGAACAAAACAAAATAAAAATTTAAGTTTATTTTAATCGTTTGAATATTATATAAAGTTTGTTTGTCACTGTTATATAACATAAAAGAGTTAAGCAGAAATATCTCACACATATTTTATTTCAAAATGCTGATATAGGGCCAGTACTTTCTACTACTACTTAATGGCAGGTTTATGGCATTTTTGTAAAGCATGCAAGAAAATTGTGCATTTATTTACATATCAAATTAATAATCATATTAAAAACAAATTAAAAAATTCATTGATGCAGGATTCAATACTACAAATAGTGATTAGCAGATGAGTACTGTGCTGCTTACCCAGGCTTTCATCTTACAACAACTTTAGCAAGTTTATATGTGAAGAAGTGACCAGTTCTATAATGTATTAAAATTTGTACTACAAATAACCTGATAATAAACCAAAAACAATTCATTCACACACTTGATTTTATTCTTCAATGATTACCTGCTCTGATGATCCTTTATCACTTGTGTTAGTGTCACTTGCATTGCTTGTACTTGGCAAAGACTTCCTTTTCTCTCGATCCTTTGAGGATTTCTTAGATTTTACATTATTGCTAGTGGACATTGGATATTAATATTTCCTTAAAATTGAATTTATTAATTGACTTATAAGCATATATAAAATATATGTGGTACTTCATAAACGATATTCATTGTTTATAAAAATATTTTCATTGGTATACTTTAAAATCAACTTAGTAATTATTTATTTACCTACTCCTACAAAAGTTAAGATTTAAATCAGAAGAAACCTGTCAAAATTATGTAGGGAACATTGAGAAATAGTTTGTTATTTAGATATGTTCAGTTTTATAAATTTTGCTATAGTTGCTGTTGATTGTACTCTAAAAATGATTTGCTTCATTCATAATTTATTTATTTACATGAATATTATTGTAATCATGTAATCTACACCTAAAACTTAAACATCTAATCAAATTCTAACATAACATAACCTCAACAATCCATCAATCATAAATATAAAAAGTATAGGTTTGTTCGTAGTAGCGATTACAAACGGTTTGTGATTTGAAATACAGTGCGCATGTTCAGTTGGAAACTGTTTGGAATTAATTTGTGATTTTGTGCTCTGCGAACACCTAAAATTTGATATTTTGCATTTGTCATTGTCGTTTGTCAAATCTCGAATTTTTCTTGTATTTGTATCATTTCTAATATCGTTTATGATATAGAAAGTTATGTATGTTTTCTTGTATCGTTTCTTGCACGTACATTTTTGCCCTGTATGACACTATGCAAGGTCTTTTACCAGAAATTGTTTGTGATTTGGCACATGATTGGTGGAAATTTTGACACCTATAAAAATAGAACTGCATACACTGCAGTTGCAGTACCTGAGGACTCCAAGCTACTGGAGACTGAGGACATATGCTACTGATTATTTTTTAAAATACTGTGGTGCAAAAATTAAAGAAATAAAATGTCCCAATATTAAAACTAAATTGGAAACCACAATTTTTGAAGATATTCATCAGGCTGTAATGGAAGACAGAAATAATAATTTGGTTGTAATAATTTATTTGTTTTTTTTTTTAATTATGTGTTTGAATGGCATGCTCTTGACATTCTACTCTCTTATTTGGAGATATAAAATAATCTTTAAACTCATCACTAATTTTTAGAGCGGTTATTTCTTGTACATGAAAATGCATCGGACACAAATTCTTGTATCGTTTCTGATATAAGAACTATACGCTTGTATGACACTATCCATTTTTTTGTTATATCAGAAACGATATAAGAAATGATACGATACAAGAATATGCATAGTGTCATACGGCCTTTAGAATTCCGTCTAATTAGTTTGTTAAATCTTTTTATTCACTTTTTTGCATTTATTGTTTAATATTATTAGTCGTTTATTTCATTTTATTAGTTTGATTATAGTTTTCTTAGTATATTTTATTTTTTAGTTATACCTATATAGTTGTTATAACAACCCAACGTTTGTTTTGTGGTTATAAAATAGATTTATATACAACAACAACACCTCTGCGCATGTCGCTGATTTTTAGTCCGCACAATCGTTGGGGATTTTAACAACCGTTGGAAACCGAATTCTGATTAATCACTTTGTTACTGCGAACAGCAAACTTAAAATTGCCAACCGTCAGAAGTGCTTCTACGAACGCTAACTGTTAACTGCGCGTGCGTCTGATGGTTGGCAACGGTTGCTGATCGTTCTACGAACAAACCTTATAAAAACACAGCACACTCCCACTCCCCTAATGTTCGGGTGCGTAACTACATATATACATGGCGGTAAATTTAAAAGGCATGTAACATTACGTACGGCACGTAAATTGCTTGTAAGATTATAAACTTATATAGTCTTAAAATAACAACATAAAACCTTTTCTATACGATATTTTTCGGGTTATATATGAATTTAATGTCATGAACATAAATCTTGATATCTAATTATATGTTTGGGCGTCACAGTGTTGCCATATTTTTTTGTATAAAGTATGAGCAGAGAATGAGAATGAAATGACAGGAAAGCGACCAATTTACTAATAGTCAGTGGGCATATCACACAATATAAATTCTTAAATAAAATTGAGCATTTATGTTGACTTTCAATAAATATGAAATATTGCACTGAAAAAATAATTACATGCAGGGCCGGCTTTTGTTGACATTCTAAATGGTGTAATTATTTTGATTTACAAAAGGTTGCAAATACATCGCACAACGCAAAGTAATGGTGCAAAGAAATTGTTTGGTGAAAAAGACAGCAAATATTTGAAGTTATGTTAATGTAAGTTTGTTTATTTGCAATCATGTTTTTATTTTAAAATCTTGTTCTGTTGTAATTTTAAGATTTCCCACTTGTGTTTATCGTATTATATTGAAATTTGGAAGGTACTGCGTCATGCACCAATGTTTTTCTTTTATTTTTTTTTTTTGACAATAAGATTATCTTCTAAATGTAGTTCACAAATCCTATAACTATTATAAAGTATATCCATTTTTAACAATAAATCTTCTCGTCTGCAAGCTTCTATCCACATTTTGGCACTACAAATTTTTAACAGAACAAATTTTAAACAAAGAACTTTTTGTATTTATAAATAATACTTCATTACTTACAACTATAAGAGTATTAGTATATTCTAAGTGCATTGTGAGTAATGAAGTATTTAACTTTTGTCAATATATCATCTTAATAAATTTACAGTTTTCTCCTGATTAAGTCACAAAATATTGAGATATACAACAAATAAAGTTTTTATATTTTTTATTTGTAATTCCCATTTAAATATTTATTCCCTAAATATGTTGTGTACTCCGATCCATATATTTTATCTTTGTTATTTATATTTAACGAATTAAACATTGACAGACAACTTTTGTACATAGCAAAAAGTAGATGAGCATTTAGTTTTTTCATAATTTAATGTAAGTTTGTTTGGTGAAAAAGACAGCAAATATTTGAAGTTATGTTAATGTAAGTTTGTTTATTTGCAATCATGTTTTTATTTTGAAGTCTTGTTCTGTTTTTTTCCCAATTATCGGTCTAATTCCCTTCCCAGATTTTCCCAATTATCGGTCTAATTATGTTTCCAACAATTTTTAGTTTGAGCATTTTAGGAATTTCTTTGTTTCGTTTAAATCAAATATTCTCGTGTATAAAACCCTCTATATATTTTTATTTCCTAAAAATACTATATTCGTATTGTTGTCTGCGAGTGCTTTCACACCAGTAGGCCCATGCCACAAAACCAGTTTCGTTTTTAGCATGAAGAAGAACAAACCGAGGAACATCATTCTTCCTTAATGTCTTTATTTGTTTGAGGTCTTGTGATTTCAGGATAGTTTTGTTCGGAAAGCTGGTGCTGGAGTAAATAACAACCTAGGCAAATATATTAAAAATAACAAGAGCCAAAATAAAAAACACTTAAATAATGGTGTGTACAAACTTCAATGTGGCGACTGCCCAAAAACTTACATCGGTCAAACGGTAGAAACTTTGTTAAATGAATAGCAGAACATAAAAGGGCTTTCAAGAATAGAAAAACAGATTCGACATACGCACTTCACCTTCTAGATCATAATCATTCTTTTAATGACAAATTTAAAATTCTTCACATTCAAAATAAAGGCATTAAGCTATCTTTGTTAGAATCTATGGAAATCAACAAATTAAAAAATACAGATATAATTATGAATGACCAACTTGAGACAAACAGTTCTCCCCTCCTCAACCTATTTCATTAGAGACTATAAATTTGTAAACCCAAGCCAAAAATAGATAACTTGAGAAAGGCAATCAGCCGAAACAGCTGTAGTGATAAGATTTAAAATAAATTTTGTGGAAGTTTGAAAACAAAGTTTTCAGTGTTTTATTTTTACATAAAATGAATTTCCATCAAGTAACGGTCTAATCCATCAATTATATACAAAATATTAAAAAAATTCTTAAACAATTTGTTGATTATTTATGTTAGATAACTGAGTGTTTAACTGTTTAGGTCAAGACTATAACTGTTAATAATACTATTTTAAGATAAAGTTACCTCTGTTTCTCTTAAAGGTTTTTGCTTAAAAGGTTAAGTTTTGTTTTTAATGTAAATTTATTCCTCTTATCTACTACTATAGGTAATATTAAAGACTTAATTGATGATTTCATGATTAATTCAAAATTAACAATCATTTGTTTTCCCTTAGCAAGTTTAGTATGTAGTAAGTTAGTATGTGCCTTTTTTTTAATAAATTGACATTTTGTAAGGTTGACAACCGAAAATAAAACTCAAATTTTCCTAATTATGGTTGTTTAATTTTTAAAATTTTAATGTTCTCCTTAGACCATAAAAACTGCGCCTAGAAACCTTGAAAACCTAGACACGCCTTGTACTGAACCGTTGAAGCAAAGATCTTCCGCGAAAGTGACGTCACAATACGGTAAGAGCCTGCTTGGATTCTTAGCAAAGTACTAATATAATTACCCAATTTTAGATTAATTTTAATATAACTTCAATATTTTGTAAAAAATATGGAAGATAAATTATTTAGCAAAGTAATTAATAAATATTTTTGCCTTAAATTGTAAAAATAAATGTTTTATTTGAAAGTACATACCTAATATATATATATATATATATATATATATATATATATATATATATATATATATATATATATATATATATAATATATATATATATATATATATATATATATTATATATATATATATATATATATATATATATATATATATATATATATATATATATAAAGGAGAATAATTTTCTTTTGGGTGGAAGTTTAAGGTTAGGTAAAAAAATATGTAGTAAATCTATTTATTTATTGACCACAAAACAAAATAGCTTTTGTTAACTTACTTCTAACTCTTATTACATTATTTAGTTTTTCACCTTCGTGGTACAATCTAATGTTGCAATAATTGAAACAAATTATCTTTATTAGATTAAAAAAATGGTTTGTTTCAAATTCATGATCAAACATATGTTGATTTGTATGCGTTAAACACAGAACCATGCATGTTACTCATGACATTTAAGATCAATTTTGTCATTATTTTGGAATCGTTTAATTTTTTTGAATTGTACATAAATTTAATTTCGCTTTCAGCGATTTTGCAAATATGAATGACGTCTTTAGAAGGTTGAATTAAAAAATTATTTGATATGCTATAATTTTTGTGTCTTATGAATGGAGATTTTAAATTATCACATTCAATTGCACACAAACATATATCACAATCTAATGTTTTCTTAACTTTCTTAACGACAAACCCAGCGATATAGTCAACAACATACAATTTGCTTATTTTGACTTGTGGTGCTTTTGTATTTAAGGAGAGATATATTTCATTTCACAATACAAACACAGTACACAACATGAGTATCTCTCATTATTTGACATTAGATAATGATATTACATATTACAAGATAGCCTCCCGCCTGACTCTGCTTCTGATATTAAAAAGTTTATCTGTCACACTCAAAAATGTAAATTTTTATTTATGTTTCTAACCAACATCCAAGTTTCTTCTACTCTAGGTGCCATCTCTAATGGAGGTTAGGTATGAAAATTATATCAAATCTGGTGAAAACTCTCATTTTTAGCAATGCGTTCTATTCTATATTTGACTTTTCATTCTTAATATGCTTATGTTTTGGGTATTATTTTTCCCCAGAAATAAGGATCAGTTAAATAGGTTACCAGCAATGGCCGAATATGCAATAGATATGACTGAAGTACTCAATATCAGTAACAAAGAATTAAGAAATGATCAAAAGGAACTTAGCGTTTGTGCTTTTGTTTCAAATCATAGGCTGTCAAATTATTTAAAAGAACTTTCTCTGTGTGATCTCAATGAAGTTTCATATTAAATACTTGAGGAGAAAACAGTTTAAAGCAAATATCACATTTGGTTCTCTTCACTTCTTTCTTTCAAAACAAATTTCACAATTGTATTTTCCTTAGCATACACTATCAAATGCGTTTTCAAAGAATCTGTATGACAAAACAGCCTAAAACAAATTTCACACTTTTAGGGTTTTTCTCTAGTGTGTACTCTCAAATGTGTTTTCAAATCGCCTGCTTGAGTAAATTGCTTAAAGCAAATTCCACATTCATAACATATTTCTCCAGTGTGTGTTGTTAAATGCTGTTTCAAATGGCTTGTTGTAGTAAACTGCTTTAAACAAGTTTCACACTTATTAGGTGTTTCTCCAGTGTGCTTTCTTAAATGGATTATCATAAGATATTGTTCAGAAAACAGCTTAAAACAAATCTCACACTGGTAAGATTTTTCTACAGTGTGCACTCTCAAATGAGATTTCAAATTACATGCTTGACTAAATTGCTTAAAACAAATTTCACACTTATAAGGTTTTTCTCCAGTATGTGTTGTTAAATGTTTCTTCAAATTACTTGTTGTAGTAAACTGCTTTAAACAAATTTCACACTTGCAAGATTTTTCTCCAGTGTGCACTCTGAAATGTGTTTTCAAATAGCTTGCTTCAGTAAACTGCTTAAAACAAAGTTCACACTTGTAAGATTTTTCTCCAGTGTGCACTCTCAAATGTCTTTTTAAAGTACCTGCATCTCTAAACTGTTTTAAACAAATTTTACACTCATAAGGTTTTTCTCCAGTATGTGTTGTCATATGTTTTTTCCAACCACTTCTAGTATTAGACTGTTTTAAACAAATTTCACACTTGTAAGGTTTTTCCCCAGTGTGCACTCTCAAATGTGTTTTCAAATTACCTGCTTGACTAAACTGTTTTAAACAAATTTCACACTCATAAGGTTTTTCTCCAGTGTGTGTTGTTAAATGTTTTTTCAAATTACCTGTTGTAGTAAACTGTTTTAAACAAATTTCACACTTGAAAGATTTTTCTCCAGTGTGCACTCTAAAATGTGTTTTCAAATCGCCTGCTTGAGTAAACTGCTTAAAACAAATTTTACACTTATAAGGTTTTTCTCCAGTGTGCACTCTGAAATGTCTTTTTAAAGCACCTGCTTCTCTAAACTGTTTTAAGCAAATTTCACACTTAGGTTTTTTTCTAGTGTGTGTTGTTAAATGTCGTTTCAAATGACTTATTGTAGTAAACTGCTCTAAACAAGTTTCACACTTGTAAGATGTTTGTTCAGTAACAACTTCCATATTTTTATTTAATGTTTTTTCTTTAGTATGTTGACTCATACAATTTCCTGTGTAAGATAAATCTTTGATTAGTTTCTCCATAATTTCCAATTTTTGTTCATCTTGGATATTACCTAAAATACAAACCAATAATAATAGAAATTGCAATGAATTGCATAAAAGATGAATGCAATAATCAAATTAAAGCAAAATAAAATTTAAGACAGTAGTAGTAGTAACTGATATAAATGTGTTAGAAACTTGTGTTTCTGTATTCCATATGTGTAATAGTCAGCCCTATTATCTTTTAATGTGTATGCACATAGATAGAAGCATCTATATTCTTTGATAGAAGTATCATAATGACAGTCAAACTTCTATGAGTCACCTTTTTTAACAAGAATTAGAAGAATATGGAACAACAAAACTTGTCAACATTTGGCAAAAATACTGTAAATCATATTTGTCTGTTTCTTTTGTTAAAAAAATATTTAACCTAACACTTAATTTTTTTAAATTGTATCTTATGCCTTTAAATTGCATTTAAGATAAAAATTATATTAGCTGTTCTACTAACCTTTTTCAGTTTTTTGGTATTCTTCAAATGGGGTAAGTTTATTTTTATCTTGGTGTATTTTAGTATTTGTGTAAGATTTATTTAGGTCTAAATAATCATATGTGTTATGTGTAATTTGCCTGTTGGATTCCTTCTGAATTTCACATTTAAAGCCATCCAAAAGAGCATCATCCAACTCATTATACTCTATTTCTACTTTACACGTTTCCTCGCTAATTTCTTGTTTTACTTCCATTCTATTACACACGAGGACACGTCACACGCTTGATTGTATGATGCATAGATGATACCCCCCTAGTAAGGTAACTCCCATATAAAGTTTTGGAAGAGAGTTTCTAGCGCCAAATACGGACGGGCCGAAACTAGTTTCATTTGGCGGCAAATTCAAAACGTAAATTCAGAATTTTAGGCGGCAAATTCAAAAAATATGCTCTGAATTTTAGGCGCCAAAATTCAAAAAGTATGTTTTTAATGGAAAGTAAATATAGTCATAAAATAAGAAATAAAAACTTATTCTATGCCAGAAAATATATCCTCTCTGTCCAAAAATATAGTATACACCTACACATTTTTATATATATATATATATATATATATATTATATATAATATATATATATATATATAAATGTATAACATAATATCTGATACAGAGAGAGTATATATTATGGTACAAGAAAGTTTTTATTTAATATTTTATGATTATATCTGTTTTCCATTACATTAACAAACCAAAGTCCCAAAAATAACAAAATAAAACACAAACATCCTGACACTTGTTTATTTGTATAATTTTCTTTGGTAAAATATTGGCAACATATCCTCCTCCTCCTCCTTACTTAAGCCCTTGTTAAGGTGTGGGTGGAGACACTCTAAATATTGTTAACTTGCTGTCTCCATTGGCTGCAATTCTGTACCAGATGAACAACTTCGTGAAGGGATTTTTCCACCAATCTTCATTTAATCTTCCCATCATATTGTGAGATCGTCATTTTGATATACAAATATAGATACCTCTATATTTATTAGCAATGGTTTGTGGTAAGTTCCATACCTTCTAAAATACTTTTCCTTAAAGTACCATATGTAGATAATAAAGTGTAAACCCTAGCATGTCTGCGATCTTGTTCTTCACAATGCTCACAAATTGGCATGTGACTCAATGTAACTGTTACTCAGAAGTAGAAGATCCATGAAAATCTAAAATAATGAAATATTATTAAAATTAAGAATGTATTGACTTTTTTTATAAAATAAGGCCAATCTTAGGAATGCAATTAAAAGAGTCATAAGAGTTTTTTTTATAAAATAAGGCAATGTTTAGGAATGCAGTGATAAGAGTTAAGAGTTTTAATGAGTTTAAAATCTATACAGTATATAAATATAAGATTAATGTTAGTTAAGATTGAAATGTAAATTAACTACAAAAACAAAATAGTATCAAGTTTGTATCTACTAAAAGTTTGGTATAATTAGGTGCTGTTCTTACCTGGTGCTTGTAAAAATAAACTCCTAATCCTCAGAATGTTTAATAGCCGTTTGTCCAATAACTTTCACCCATCCACAAAAAATATTCTTTGGAAATACTATACCATTTTGGTAATGTACCTTCTTCTTTAGCAGGTCTATTAGATATATAAAATTTGATGTATACTGTTTTTATCGTCTATTTCTAAAATTTGGGATACGACTATTGTAAACAGTGTGGTGTAGAATTGTTTATTTTCCTCATAATAAATGTCAACCAATATGAAAACAAGTCCATTTCATTTTTTGGGTTTGGAAAACGAAATCGACTGTTTGTGTAGTCGGTGCAACCATGAACATAACATTTTTTTACCTTTTATTCTATTTTGTTCCATTTCAACGATGGTAAAACACAATTTTTACAATTAAGATGATAATAACCAAAACCAAACACAAATCTGAATTTGCAATATGGCGTCCCAATCTAAATTAAATTTCGCCATAGCACATGCGATGCGTTATACCTCCCACCTAACGTGACTAGTAGCGCCGCCGCCATTAAGAACGGATGGGCCCATGCAAAACACTATCCCCTCCCGTCCTATTCTACTTACACTACTAGTGATTGTGGTATGATGATTGTATGTATTCTGATGTATTCCATTCTCAATAATAATTTTGGTAAGTGTTAAATTGGTAAAAGGACAAATTGCATCGTTGTGTTGGAGTGTTAAAGCCTATTCAGACACATCAGTCCAGTCGCGTCATAGTCTCGTGACCGGTCCTTTTTGGTCACAGAACTATCAACTATCTGACAGCTGGGAAACTGTTCCTAGCCTGATAAATGTGAATGCCGTCATACAAAATATTAAAGAATATTTTGTATGACGGATTGTTCGGTTCAGCGTCAGGACTCTGACGAGACGTGACTGATGTGTCTGAATCGACCTTTATTCTGTTGTAAATGGTTAAGCATGATACTATGAATAACAAGATAGGATCTTCCCAGTAGCTCAAAATCGGTCGGGTTCGCGCATGCCGTCATTGGAGACTAGAATTTAAATTCTTGTTAAAGTTAAATGAGATTTGTATGCATTCTGTGATGAAATTACTAGACGAAAATAAGTTAGGAGGTTTAACAATTACAATAATCGTACACATAAGGATATCTCCAAACTATTTATTAAAGATTATTTATTGATATATACAAAAACTGACATTTCTAACGTGCAAGTCTCCAATGACGTCACAAAAACATGCGCAATATTTTATCTTATAGTCATAGTATCATGTGGTTAAGTATAATACGGGGTGTAGAGTTGTGTTATAGAGGTAGCACCTTTTATCGGAACGACCACATCGAGCGTCATAGACGGGAGATGGTTCTTGATAACTGGTCCTCATAAGACAACTAATTCTCACTTATGGCTCCACGTGCCACACCCCGGGCAACTGCATTGGTCTGCAGGCTAAACTAAGTGAGGGTAGCCAGATATGGCGAAAATTCTACCGAACGTTTGCCGGTATAAGCAATCCCCCACTTACTGACCAACGGCTTCGGGCGGATGAGTTGGTAAGTGGTAGGGCACCCTTTTGTCCTGGGGTTGGGAAACTGACCCTAAAGGCGGACGAACCGAAAAAATAGGTCAACGGCGTAAGGATGTAGAAGGCAAGGGGAAACCACTACATTAAAGATCCTTAATGGATATCCCTAGTTAATCATTATGGCTAGTACAAGATGGTTACAACAAGTTACTGATCATGATTTTCGGTCGTCAAGATCCGGCAGGGGTAGACAACCAAAAGACTGTAGGGCTCCCCCGGTCGTTAATCTACGAAAACCCTACAAAAAGAATAAAGGTGCAAAGATCGCTACCTGGAATATTAAAACAATTTATGAAGCCGGAAAGATACACAACGTCATACAAGAAATGCAACGCATGTCTGTCAAAATATTGGGACTAAGTGAAACCAGATGGCCAGACTCGGGTGAACAACAGATTTTAAATTCCAAAATATACTATTCGGGAAATAATGATCCAAACCATCGAAATGGAGTAGCAATCATTGTTGATAAGAACTTATGTCAATCAGTCACTTCTTTCAGTCCTATCTCAGATAGAGTAGTTATGGTTTCTTTAACAATGATCCAACGAAAGTTAAATATAATCCAAGTATATGCTCCAACTTCCGACAAGACAGACGATGAAATAGAACAATTCTATAAAGATATACAACAAGCCCTGGATAATACAAAGCATAGAGATATCACGATTGTTATGGGCGATTTTAACTCAAAAGTAGGAAAAGGAGAAGTAGAAGATATTGTAGGGAAATATGGACTTGGTTTAAGAAATGAGAGGGGGGAAAGATTGGTGGAGTTCTGTCAAGAGAACAGTCTGGTAGTTACAAACACTTATTTTAAGTTACCTAATCGTCGACTCTACACCTGGAGATCGCCTGCGGATAATGATAGGAAAGTTATTAGAAACCAGATAGACTATGTTTTAATAAGAAAAAGGTTTCGGAACTCCATTAAATCAGCAAAAACATACCCTGGGGCTGATGCAGCCACAGACCACAATCCCGTTGTTGTATCATTCGATCTCCGATTTAAAAAACTAACTGCACGTTGCAATAAGAATCAAATACAACGTTCATTTTTGAAAAATTCATTTGTAAGAGATCAGCTATCCAAAAAAATTAACGAGGAAATAAAGATAAATATAATCGATCCAGACGAAGATTCGAACAGAAAATGGGAAACATTTAAAAACATAATGCTGAATCCAACGAAGGAGATTCTAAAAGGAAAGAAAAATAATAACACAACAAAGTCATGGATTAATGATGAGATACTGCAATTGATGGAAAAGAGAAGATTGTACAAGAACGTAGACATCGAAAAATATAAAGACATATATGGTGTAATTAGAAAGAAAATAAGAGAAGCCAAAGAAAAATGGTACTCAAACAAGTGTGAGGAAATAGAAGTACTATTGGAAAGGCATGATGACTTTAATCTACATAGGAAGGTAAAAGAACTGGCCGGCATCAGAAAAACAAACCACAGTAGTGTTCTATTAGATGAAAAAGGTAAAATTATCCTTGATAACAACAAGAAAATAGAAAGATGGAAACAATACATACAGGAATTATTTAAAGATGAGAGACAACCAGAAAACATAGAACTATACAACAGTAGAGAAACGGGGCCCAGTATAACAAAAGAAGAAGTCATGCATGCAGTAAAATTGGCAAAAGATAATAAAGCTACAGGTCCTGATGAGATACCAGCGGAAATTATAAAATTAATCGCAGAAGATCAAATAGATATACTAAAAGACTTGTACAACACCATATATGATACAGGCGTCATTCCAAAAGAATGGCTTAAGTCGACGTTCGTGACTCTACCGAAAAAAGCTAACGCTAGAGAATGCTGTGACCATCGAACCATCAGCTTAATGAGCCACACTCTAAAGATATTCTTGAAAATTATACATCAAAGAATTTTCAGAAAACTGGAGCAAGATATTAGTAACACGCAGTTTGGCTTCAGAAACGCAATGGGTACAAGAGAGGCCTTGTTTGCCCTGAATGTATTGGCCCAAAGATGTATGGATGTTAACCAACCTCTTTATGTCTGTTTCCTTGATTACAATAAGGCATTTGACAAAGTCAGACATAATCGCCTCCTACAGCTACTTCAAGATAAAAATCTGGATATGAAAGATATTAGAATAATATCAAACCTTTACTTTAATCAAGTTGCATCTGTAAAGGTTGGCAACGAACTATCAG